TGGACCAAGAACCCGGCCCTTGATCCTGCCTACGGTCCTATAACCTTTCCCAGACCGCCCCATATCCTGCATTGCTGCGAGAGTTGAGTTGCCAGTTTTCTGCTCGAGAACTTTCAATCAACTGTCGCAGCGAGGCAGGTCATGGGGCGAACTGGGCAGGGTATAGGGTGTGTGGGTAAAATCCAGGGTAGAAATTTTTGCCCATTTCCCTTCCCAAGGTGTATGCCTGGCGTTCAAGTTGCTCGTTTATCTGAGAACAAGACACCACATGATTTTCTAATCAACTCGTTGCATTTTAAAGAGAATAAAGGAAGAAAAGCTCATCTGGTAAATAAGACATCTGAAATTTGTTTGCGTATAGCACCCATATTCAGTGTTCAAAGGGATTCCATGAAAACTGGGTAAAAAGGGTGGTGAGGAGGCTTGGGAATGAACTTTACCATATGGCCAATAAAGATTGGAAATGTTTAGCAAACTCTGCGATATGTGTAAAAACAGCTAAGGCAAAGGCTAACAATTATATATGGCAATATCATACCATAACTCTATCTTGACAATCCGTTCAAACCGTCTACCGATCGAAAATCCTTGCCATGTCCGCAACAGAACGGCGATTGTTCGCATTTTCATCGTTTGACTCACTTAGCTCGGCAACTACTTGAGAAGTAGGCGGGATTAGTCCTATGCGAGACGATGGCTTCGGTGGGAGGGAGGGAGCAGCTGTAGGAAGACTCCTAAATACAACATATTAAGCGTTGTAGCTGAAAGACGTTCTAAAGGCAAATAGTACGATAAATCGACAAGGCGTATGAGGGGAAAAACACCTGACACGGAAGAGTATTGCACCCCACAGCAGGCGCTACGTAGCCCCTTTTTTCAAGCAAGGGTCGTTGTAGTGCCTTGCCAGGGTGCAACATAGCGACCCAGACGCCCACCTCAACCGCCGGCCTATAAATGGCCGTTTAGCCACATGGTCTGCTTCCCATACGAAGTACAACTGATATGAAACAGTTGCGGTGCCGGACGGATATATAACCACACGCGTGGGCAGCCGTATGCTACGTGCGGGTCGTTGGCAAGAATGCAGTGGGAACTCGTTCGGAGCATGTTCAGTTAGCGCCGCATATTTGTCCAATGACAACGTAGGTTTGACGTTTTTTCGTGGGCTTTTGACGTTACGACTTCACTTTTTCGGCCAATTCCCCTTAATATGGCACCTGTTTACTATTTTAAACGCTACTAAGATTTATGCGCGCTTCACGCCTTTGAGCTAGTTGCTCAAGATTTCGATCATAGAGACCGTCCGGGATAGCTGAGTGGGCGGAGCCGGGGGATGGCGCCGTTGGCCCCTCCTTTTTTCGCACTCTTATGGTCGTGAGGAAAAGAGGCAGATTGCGCGTCGAAGACAGTAGTCGTAACTCCTGCTATTTCAACGGTGCCAAATTATCACACTTTATATAGATCTTGGGCCGCTTCATCTTTTGGGCGGCCCTACTTCTGATTCCTGGGAGGGAAGTTCCAACACCTCACGAATTCGAAGATCTACCCTCGGATGGAATCTATCCGTGAGGTAGTTTTGTATAGAGTGTCTTCAGAGGTGGATGAATTGACGGCCTTAGATGATGGAGCATCGCATCGTATTCATTAATCGAAACGCGTCTGGATGCCACGCCAGTGATATGTCGGTGTCAAGACATCGCCATGTTAGCGGTGGTGTCTGTAGCGCGAACCATATACAAATGCGATTATCGTGTTCAGTAGGCGAAATCACCCTAAGTGCAAGCTTTCGATCAAGTCTGTTCCGGGTATGTGACAAAACAATCGTAACTGATCGCGCTGATGGGCGTGGCTAGCGACGTTGAATGGCCGCACGCGGCAGGTGAATAACTGGCAGCCGAATATACCATGTTCTAATGTCGACTTTTTCTCTGTACAAGGGTACTACCCAGCAGAGCTGGGAAACACCTTACTCAAACCTGCGGCGCCACTGCCTCATAATGCGCCGCGCGCGACGACGCGGCTAAATAGCACTGTTTCGAGCGTCTTAAGTCTATTCCTAGAGATAATACCCGAAGAATCGAGTGCAACATTCCAAAATGGGTCAGTAAAGTGTAAATAGTGCCTTTTGTCGATTGGAACTGAAGCATGACAAATCACTTACTTCATTCGATGCGGCAAAGGAGGAGGGGATTCGGCTTCCGTAGCAGCACGTGGCGAAGACGAAGGTCCAGGCGAGCTCAAAGCAGAACTATGATGTGGAGAGTCGGGTTTCGGGGACATCGTTCGGTCCGCCGCTGAACGCAACACTGCTTGCGATAACAAGGCTGCATCTGGTAGTATTGCGGCACGAAAACCAGCTCTTTCCGAGGGATGCTGAAATACCTATTTCAAAGACAGGTCGGTAAAAGTGGAATATTACCAATTCGGACCTTTTTCGGAGCGACATCGCCAGCTCCTCCACTGTCTTCACTCTTTGTCGATTGAGCCTCTTCTTCAATATCAGTGCTTCGGCTCATCGGTGTCTCTTCCGACTGTGGTTGTCTTGCTGAAAAATTACTTTTACAGTCAACGAAGGAGGAACAGCTGACGTTTGCCTACCCTGTCCTCCAGATCGTCTTTGCAACCTTGGACGGGACTTCTGCAGATGCACCAAAGCCGATGGTTGTGGCGGTGAGTCAAGCGAGATGCCAGGCTCGTCGTCTCGCCATGAGGGAGTTCCGAGTGGAGAATGTAATTCTCCAATAATGCTACGAGGTCTATGATGGATGGAATCGGAACCTCTGGAAAATCAATTTTCACTTTAGAAAATGAGCAATTTTCAACCAACGAACCGATGCGAGATATTTGGTGAAGTAAGTTGTCGAGGTGAACCATTCTGTGAAGCACTTGTGGTCGAAATACCGTCTAGACCACCACCCAGCTTTTCAGCTAACATACCAGTTTGTTCGCACAACTCGCGCCATCGCCAGTCACTTAAAGAAAACGTTTCACATTGACCCTCTACATTCAGTGGTGAAAACCTTCTAGATACCTCAGTACTCGTTTGAGATTGTCAGACCACAACTCTTTGAGTCTACTGACGGCTATCCGCTCAGCTTTTCCAGATGATTGGAGAGATTCTCCCACAGCGCCGCCAAGACTGACAAATGACTCTTGCAAATTGAGCTTGAATTCACGTCGTACCTGAAGAGAAATTTATTAGTAGCAATTATGAAGGACCTACTAAGATGGTAGCCGGGGTTCAAATGGTGCTTGCTGTTGATCTTACAGTGTTGGGCGGCCACTGTCCTTCCTGAGCTGCAGAAAATCCGCCCCTCCCTGTCGCACCCCACCCCCCCCCCTTGTTTCTGATGTAGTTATCGGGCAGCCAACGTGTTTCCATTGCCATTTTTACTACAGACCCTCTTCAATGAGAATCTCTGCTCGTTACAGTACTCCAACCAATGAGGGGGGGGGGGGCGAAACCATTATCATAACGCCCCAATGGTGGACCCACGGACTGGATACGGACTTGACCGTTCACCAACGCATAGCTGTATGCACCTACAGAAGCTGGAAATTCAAAGGCAGTGGACACGATGGCTGGGGCGGGCGGTTGCTGCCAACGTGATTGGTGGAAGTGATGAGCAGAGGGCGCTTAGCCACACCGCATTCAGCCCTTCCACCCAATGCGTTGGCAACCCCCCCCCCTCCCCAACCACATGCCCAGTGATTGGAGGGACATCCTGAACCTGAATTCCTTGAATCGCTTCGATTTTTCTGTTCTTCTCTGCATTCTCAAGTCTGTAATGACATTTCTATGTTCATATAATGCTGGCCCGCATTCCAGTTTTTTCACGAAAGCAGCATGTTTTTTTTTGCGAATTTCAATGCTTTTACCTGGAATCCGTGCGAAAAAAAGCCCAGCCACCTTTCTGCTGTGATTCCCCCTCCCCCTTACTACTTCTCATTTGTTCGATTTTTCGCAATTTCGTTTTCAATCGTCTTTCCTAAGCCGCCGTCCTCTAGCTGTTTGCGTTACAGGGCTTCGCAACAGGACCACGCGGAAAAGCTCAAGCTGTCATTTTTATGCGGTAGCCCTAATCGCCTTCTGTGCACCTCCCTGTGTCCCTGGGAGGTACACAAGGGGCACTCAATGTGTCGTCTTCAAAAAACCAGAGGCTCCCTGCCCGCTCTCTGGATATCATGCTTCAGTTCTTAACTGGGGCCTTGTGTGGGAATTCTTGGAGAAGCTGATGGAATGCTGGATTCTAAAATGGCTCCTGCTTATACCAGAACAGTAACCTAGTAAATAGATGTCTTTCTGGAATGTCAAAGAATACAGCCAATTTACCTAGCACTGTGTGAATTCACCATGAAAGTTCCAAACAAGGAAAATTGATCGTTCTGCTTCTCTTCTAAGGACTCCAGTTGTCCTTTGTAGGGCTTTTAAGACTTATATTAGACTTCTGCTGGAATACAGGACAGTGGTCTTTCAATCCATACAAAGCTCGAGTTGTTAAATTGTTGGAAAGGATTCAGAATAGTTTCACTAGAAAGGTTTTTTAAGAACTGTTGGATTCGAATATGACAGGATCCCTGATAATAAAACGCGCAATATCAATCTCAGCCTCCAGCCGCTCTCGCTTAGAAGGAGGAAATTTGATTTAATAACACTCTTCAAGATCTTTCAATGGTTACTCGGGTATTAGGCGGCAATAGCGCCTTGATGGAAATCCATGAAACCTGCTACTAGAGGGCTCGGTACAGCGAAAATTACATCGTGCGCAGCCTTGCCAAGAGCTTGATAGGGCACTGCACCTTGGGAAGCGTATCAATAACTTACTTCTTTTAAAAGCATCTGGGACACGTATTTATGCATCCTGAGTCACATTACTCCGTTTGATGGGCTCCAATTCTGTTTGCTTTCACTTTCTGTTGTGCTGCTTCACTTTCTGTTGTGTTGCTTCATTTTCGGTTGTTTGTGTTGCTGCTAATTGTAGTCCGTTTTTCTACTAGCGCGTGTTTTTTTTTATCTCGTTGCTGCTACAGCGGTTTCCCGTGCTATATGAACAGTATGGCTCCTATGGATAACTTTGGCCATGGGAAGAGAATTCGACGACCAACGAAGCGACGAGTGGCGTTTGGCCGTAATCACCAAGTTAAAGACACTTCCCGCGTTAAGTGCTTAGCGAAATGCCCGAGTATATTTAGCATCGCAGAGAATATACCACTTTCGTCACTCGAAATGGCGAGATAACGAAGCTAGAGACACGTCAGTTTTGCAACGGTGCAACCGCCTACTCTGCAAGACGATTTGTCGAAGCGGAATTGCGCGTGTACATAGCGTTGCCGGGAGCATCGTAGAGCAATTTCCTGTGCTCTCGTGTCCAAGAACTAGTGTAACAGCTAGAACACTGCTGAATGTCGAATATTCAGTTACTTCTGCCAAACGAGGTTTTTAGATGACACCTTTATTGGCCTTACGTTTCGACCTTCTCGTCTTCTTCAGAGGCCTGAAAATGGCTCGAAGCTTTTAATTTGTTACCTACCCGACCAAACGCCCTCCCCACTCTAGCGTTTCCGACCTTGTTTCCCAAACGCTTCCCAAAAACTCGGTAATGAGTCCTAACAACTCACCGAAGGTATCACCGTGCGGAGCTCAGCTCACGCAGTGGGTTAGTTGAACCAGTAAGGACGAATGAGACTCACTTGTGTCTCACTGTGTCGCAAAAGTCAAAATTGTTATAGCGCACGTAGTCCTTACTGTAGCTCGCACTCTGATACAAACGGCAGGAATTCATTTGTAATAGCCAGACACTCATTTCGGTTGTTCATTCTTGGTTTTCTCGCGAAAATCCAGAATGACTCCAGAACTTTCCTGGCTGAAGTTTCCGTCTCGTACGCCAGTATAACACATTTAACATCGAAGTCGTTCCCGTTATGCTGCTCCACCTTATGCTTGCCAAGGGGAGTGGTCATGATATCACGCCTTTTCCCAGCTAGGTGTTCTCCAATGCGTGTAGCCAATACCCTTCCTGTTTCTCCGATATACGTGCTGTTACACGCCCTACATTCAAGCTGATAAATTACTCCAGCTTTCCCGCAATCTCCTAACCCTTCCCCAACCTTGCCCAGTATGGGCAGTAACGCAGTATGGTTCAAGTCACTGTATCGTCGTACAGTTCTGTTGGCGCAAGTTGGCGTTTGAGTGTTGCTGCTTGGCGAGATTATTTACCAAGACAACATCGTCGTGTAATTGTGCCCTAACAATACTGCGACGTATTTCAGTGCTGATGCCATCGGAAATAAAAGGAAGGCATAAGGGTAGTTTTCCCTGGCGTGATACATGTCGTAGGCTAGCACTCGATGTCCTGCGATGGTCTGGTACCGCATAACCATTCTCTCTAGCAATTTTCAAAGCCAGAGCTCTTGACTCTAGTCGTTCTTCTTCGCCTGTACACATCGTGGTTGCTGTTGTGATCATGTTCCTAATGACTGCACGTTTCACTGCAGCAGGATGTGAAGACGTTGCGTGAATCAGGATATTTTTACAGCTAGGTTTGCGGTACCATTTCACGTTAGCAATGCCGTTGGACAGCTGTCCAACGGCATTGCTAACGTGAAATGGTACCGCAAACCTAGCTGTAAAAATATCCTGATTCACGCAACGTCTTCACATCCTGCTGCAGTGAAACGTGCAGTCATTAGGAACATGATCACAACAGCAACCACGATGTGTACAGGCGAAGAAGAACGACTAGAGTCAAGAGCTCTGGCTTTGAAAATTGCTAGAGAGAATGGTTATGCGGTACCAGACCATCGCAGGACATCGAGTGCTAGCCTACGACATGTATCACGCCAGGGAAAGCTACCCTTATGCCTTCCTTTTATTTCCGATGGCATCAGCACTGAAATACGTCGCAGTATTGTTAGGGCACAATTACACGACGATGTTGTCTTGGTAAATATCCCCAACAGCAACATCAACGCCAACTTGTGCGCAACAGACTGTACGACAGACAGTGCTTGACACCAGACTGCGTTATCTGCCCATATGGGAAGTTAGGAGATTGCGGGAAAGCTGGAGTAATTTATCAGCTTGAATGTAGGGCGTGTAACAGCACGTATATCGGAGAAACAGGAAGGGTATTGGCTACGCGCATTGGAGAACACCTAGCTGGGAAAAGGCGTGATATCATGACCACTCCCCTTGGCAAGCATAAGGTGGAGCAGCATAACGGGAACGACTTCGATGTTAAATGTGTTATACTGGCGTACGAGACGGAAACTTCAGCTAGGAAAGTTCTGGAAGTCATTCTGGATTTTCGCGAGAAAACCAAGAATGAACAACCGAAATGAGTGTCTGGCTATTACAAATGAATTCCTGCCGTTTGTATCAGAGTGCGAGCTACAGTAAGGACTACGTGCGCTATAACAATTTTGACTTTTGCGACACAGTGAGACACAAGTGAGTCTCATTCGTCCTTACTGGTTCAACTAACCCACTGCGTGAGCTGAGCTCCGCACGGTGATACCTTCGGTGAGTTGTTAGGACTCATTACCGAGTTTTTGGGAAGCGTGCACATTGCGGACAGCGGGAGGTAGCTCGGTCAGTCCTGTTCCTAAATGGAGGGCGTATTCTAGCGGACGGTTGGACGGAGGTTATGGTCGGAGTAACAAAATTTAAAACGCTTCGAGACCATTTTCTATGGCCTCTGAAGAAGACGAGAAGGGTCGATTAATTCAGAAGGCCGAAATAAGGTGTCATCTAAAACCTCGTTCGTGATAACGGTAATTATTCGACATCATGGCGAGCGTTTTCAAGAGAAGGGAACTACATGGAGACTGCTGATTGTATTGTGCCCTCATATGAACCCGTCCAAGGCGCCGACCGCTTTGCTCGGGAGGTCTGTGCTCAGGGTGTTCCTGACTTTTTCGCCTGTTTCTCTACTAATGACTTTTTGGTGGGCTACTGGTTCATGACTGAGCACCTGCTGCCTGTTACATCTGATCGCAAGAGTTGTCTTTAGCGTATGCGCTGCTTTGAAAGCCTGCATTTCAGCATACTGTATTGGTGGTGAGAAACCAAAGACACACATTGATTAGAAAGAGTCCCTATCGATATTAGCCTGTGGTTCAGTGAATGCACATGGTTCTGTTTCATAGGTACGTAGTGTGAAGATCAATTCCACGCTATTGATAGAACTCAACGATACCTGTTCAACGAAATCCTCTACCATATCTTCCAAACGATGTGGAAACGCTTCCTCTATCGTACTGTTTAGGATATCTCCAAAACCATCCCATTTCTCCAAACTTCCAGGGTCTACTCCCTGAAAACTTGAGAGAATTATGTATTCGCTCTGATGGCATTTTGCAGAGAAACATGCCATAGTATTGATTCGGAAATTAGCGAAGTCCGAGTTTGCGGGTGAACGATTCCTTTCCAAATAAGACTCCATTTGTGTCATCGCTGACAAAAGTCGTGCACGATCACAACCAGCTCTTCCTAAGCATTCGCAAACATCTTGAACGGGATACGGTATTTGAGTGAGGGTCTTGTTCCTGGAAAAGCTGTGACTTCATGACCAACTCAGAAATCTAAAGAAAACTGAAATGGCTACGGTGCTTACATGCTCAGCGCTGTTGCTATGTCGCTCAGTCCCTCAACGCCCAAGTGATTATTGTCGATTACAACCGTTCGTAAAGAGACATTCAGTTGAAGAGCCTAAACAGTGCCGTGAATTTCTAATTTCCATTATTCACTCCACTACTGACTGGCTTTTATAGAAACACCCATGAGCGCTATGTAGACCCATTAACAGGAATTATGCGATTGCTTAATCCTCGCGCTCAACCAATTAACAAACGTCCTTCCGGGTTCAAGTAGTCTGCTCCGCAGCCTAAGATTTTTCCCTTTTTCACAGCTTCTCAGCAA